ACCCTGATATAAGGGGGAACCCTGATAGGGACACTGATGTAAAGAGGCACTCTGATAGGGATCCTGATGTAAAGGGGCACTTTGTTGGGGACAGTTGATGTAAGGGAGAACTCTGATGGGGACACCTGATGTAAGGGGGCACTCTGATAGGGACCCTGATGTAAGGGGGAACTCTGATGGAGGCACTCTGATGGGGACACCTGAAGTAAGGGGCAAGCTGATAGGAACTCAATGTAAAGGGGGACTCTGATGAGGACTCCTGATTTAAAGGGGGACTCTGATAGAGACATCTGATATAAGGGGGACAGGTCCTGTGTCAGCCTAATACACACTAGTATTTCCCAGGTCATAACACTGTGTGATAGATTCTCAGTGACTCACACACAGTGTTGACATTCTGCCCCCTGACTTTTTTTTTTTACTGCATCCCCAGATCAGATAGGCTAGATCCGGTCCTGCTCAGAAAGCATGCAGATCCTACTTTTGCACCTACAGATAGCTTTTAGAAAGAAACACTGTAAATATATGCATAAGTGAAGAACTTAAAAATGTCACAGCGAGATAATAAAAACCTTGTCAATACATAACAAACAAGAGATCATTGCTATCTTTTAAAAAAATTGTGTTCCATTGTTACCTTTCCTGTGGGTCATGAGTGAAATCTTTACATTCTTGAACATCTTGGAAAGCCCACCATGATATGACACTTCTGAAGGTGTTGCATTGCGTGACCCCTGCTCCCTTCTTCTGGTCCCTACTTCTCTAATTTGTCCTGTAGTAAAGCTGCAGTCATTGGGAGGAACCATATTACCCAGTGGGTGACACGCTATGTGACACACCCTATCTGGCACATCAAAACTGACTGATAACAGTCGCATTAGGAGTTGTTCAAGACAGCATAGATTTGTTTTGTTGCCCAATGGAAAGGTAGGTATAGTCATGTTCATTATGTTCATACAGTATGTTCAATATCTTCAATATGTTCATTAGAGAGCACTTCACATTTCTTTCTAGTTCCCTGGTGTCTGTGGTCAAAGGCTTTCAAGTGCTGTATGTAAATATGAGCAAAAATTTATTAGTAAACCAAGTAAAATTAGGTTCAGTTATGTCTTCTGCAAATGTGTTTTCTTATCATCTCTATTGCCTTACTAAACCAAATCTAGAGGACAAACATTAGGAAAAAGGATTACTTTACCAGACTATTAGATGCTTGTCACTTGGATGGTTCCAAGACAAAGCCTGTCTCATGCAGGATAAATACAAAACAAGCTTGTTCATTAACCAATTGCCTACAGAGCACTTATATCCCCTTCCTGCCCAGGCCAATTTTCAACTTTCAGCTGTTGCAATTTGAATGACAATTGCATTGTCATGCAACATTGTACCCATGTGAAAATGTTATAATTTTTTCACACAAATAGAGCTTTCTTTTGGTGGTATTTAATCGCCACTGGGTGTTTTATTGTTTGCAGTATAGACAAGAAAATAGCAAAACATTTTTTTTTTAAAGTTTTTTTTTCTTTCTATTATAAAATTTTGCAAACAGGTAATTTTTCTCCTTAACTGATGTGCATTGATCAGACTGCACTGATAGGCAGCACTGATGGGCACTGATAAGTGGCACTGATGAGGTGGCATGGATAGGCAGCACTGATGGGAATTGATAGGCAGCACTGATAGGTGGCACTGATGAGCTAGCACTGATGATGCTGCACTGATATGCAGCAATTATGGGCACTGATAGGTGGCACTGATGGGCAGCACTGATGGGTGGCATTGCTGGGCACTGATGAGTGGCACTGCTAGGCAGCACTGATGGGCGGCACTGATGGGGGGCACTGCTGGGCACTGGTGGGTGGCACTGCTGGGCACAGGTGGGCGGCACTGATTAGCCAGTCAATGATCACATGAATAGTAGTACACAAGATGTCACTTCCTGACATCATAGCTTACTACTAGTAAAATCTGTGAATGATCACTGAGATCACATGGTACAAGGCTATTCACAACAGCCTTGTACCATGTGACAAGCTGTGACCAATCACAGCTCACACAGTATTTCTCAATGGCTGCAAGAATGCAGCCAGAGAGAAGGAGAAATGATTGCTTTTACAGCCTTTATAGGTGTAAAATCAATCAGTGTAAACAAAGAAAAAAAAAAATCTTCATCACCCCCCACAAGTAGTACAGTTTCACTATGGTGACACTGTACTGCTAGGGTGACAGTATGTTAAAAAAAAAAACAACAAAAACCCATAGATAATATAAAAAAAAAAAATTAAAATGTAAAAATAAATCTTGAAAAATTATAATTTTTGGTTAGAAACTAATATGGGTTATTTTTTTTTTTACTAAAAAGATAGCTAATACATTTTGGCCAATATTTATGAAGAAAGATTATTTATTTGCAAAATTGTATAAGAAAAACACTTTTTTTTTTTCAAAATATTTGGACTTTTTCATTTATATAGCAAAAAAAAAAATAAAAATCCCAGTGGTGAATAAATACCACCAAAATAAAGTTTATCTGTCTCAAAAAAATGCAAAAAAATTCATATGGGTACAGTGTTGCATGACTGTGCAATTGTCATTCAAAGTGTGATGCACTGAAAGCTGAAAATTGGCCTCGACAGGAAGGGGGTGAAAGTGTCCGGACTTGAAGTAGTTAAACACTGTGCTGTGTGTATGTGCGTATGTATGAATGCGTATTATATACAGGGGTCGGATTAAAAAACAGAAACATGATTTCAGGTGTAAAAGTGATGACATGTTCACATTAAAAGCGGAATTGATGTAATATTCTTTTGCTTCTGCTGTGTGATGAGAAACCTAGCTAACAGGTGGGAAACCTCACTTTCTTCATTCACTGTGTGCACTGCTATTAAAAATGAATGTCAGAGCTTACTGAGCTTCAAAGAGGGCAAATTGTTGGTGTCTCCTTTGCTGGTGCCCCTGTGGCTGAAGTTGGCAATTAATTTGCGGTGTCGCAATGTACAGTATCAAAGGTTAAGATGGTATATACAGTTTCTGGCAAAACTTCGTCTGATAAGCATAAGCACAGTAGACATGGTCAACTGACCGAAAGAGACAAAAGGACATTGAGCAGGATTGTGACCCAGATTAAGAAAACAACTGCTGCAAAAGTGACTGCAATACTCAGTCTTCAATGATTATGCTGACAGTAGAATAAAGCAGAGTGACAGACAGATGAGTTTATCATTGTGCTGCTTCTCCTTGACTCTCCAGTCACAGGCTGGAGAAGGGTCAATAAGTGGGAAATGATGCTGGCTATCAGACTGCAGACATCTAGCAGTTGAAAAGAATCACTACTGAGGATTCAAGTGAGTATTACAGCACAGGCTGATTTATTAATTTATATTTTAATGGGTTATTCAATATTTTTGACTGGAGTTCTACTTTAATGGATTAAACCATGTCTCGTGCAGACTCCACCTCCGCAACATCGCCAAAATCCGCACGTTCCTAACCCCAGAAACCACTAAACAGCTCATCCACTCCCTCATCATATCACGACTCGACTACTGCAACTCCCTCCTCACTGGCCTGCCTCGCCGCTGGCTATCCCCTCTTCAGTCCATCCTGAACACGGCTGCCAGACTCATTCACCTTTCCAACCGCTCTGTCTCCCCCACCCCCCCCCCTCTGCCAATCCCTCCACTGGCTTCCGATTGCGCAACGGATCAAATTCAAAATCCTAACGCTGACGTACAAAGCTGTCCACCATACTGCCCCGTACTACATCTCTGACCTAATATCCAAGTACCGCCCAACACGCACACTCCGCTCCTCACAAGACCTCCTTCTCTCTAGTTCCCTGGTCTCCTCCTCCCATGCCCGCCTCCAGGACTTCTCCAGGGTGTCACCCATCCTCTGGAACTCCCTGCCCCAACCCATCAGATTATCACCTACTCTCCTCTCCTTTAGGCGCACCCTGAAAACCCATCTCTTCAGGGAAGCCTACCCCACCCCCTGCTAACTTGCCGACCTCCTCCACTCTTCCAACCACTCCATCCCCCACAGCTATCTCCTCCTGTGCCACCCCCCCCTCCCTCCTAGATTGTAAGCTCGAAAGAGCAGGGCCCTCGATCCCCTCATGTTTTGCATTGTATTGGTATTGTTCTGTCACATGTTCTGTCTCCCTTTGTAATGTACAGCGCTGAGCGAACTATTGGCGCTTTATAAATACTGTATAATAATAATAATAATAATGTTTACCTATCTGTGTAAGATGGCAGTTGTTTTCTTCATTATCAAAAATCCTTCATGTAATAGGAAGATACGAGTGGGGTTTATTTACTAAAGCTAGAGAGTGCAAAATCAGGCTCACTTCTGCATAGAAACCAATCAGCTTCCAGGTTTCATTGCCAAAACTTAATTGAACAAGCTGAGGCTAGAAGCTGATTGGTTTCTTTGCAGAAGTGAGCCTGATTTTGTACTCTCCATCTTTAGTAAATAAACCCCAGTGTGTTCTTGATCGCTTCAGTATGTTTTTGATTATATTTATTACTTTAAATGTGTGTGCAATATCAATGAACAATATATGTTTACTTTTTTAAAACAACATAGGTTATCCAGATCCTCCTTTTTCAGAAGCAGTTTATCACAACAGTAAAATCCTCAAAGGTATATTGTACAACCGAGCTTAGTCTACAGGAATGTGCATGGGGTTTGTTGCAGCGAGGTTATGCAATTGCAGATATTGTGGCTTATTTAATGAAATATCATTAGTGCATATCTGGTGGTTAAATGTGAATGCAGATTTTACAAGACTGGCAAAAAAGCACACAGTAATAGTATGAGAGCTGGAAAAAAAAATGCAAAAGCAATAGTTTTCTTCCTAGCAATGTGATACATGTCACAGTTTTGTTACTTGATATACACTATATAGCCAAAAGTATTGGATCACCCCTTTAAATCATTGGACTCAGGTGTTCCAATCACCTCCTTGGCCACAGGTGTATAAAATCAAGCACCTAGGCATGCAGACTGCTTCTACAAACATTTGTGAAAGAATGGGTCGCACTCAGGAGCTCAGTGAATTCAAGCGTGGTGCCGTGATAGGTTGCCACCTGTGCAATAAGTCCATCCATGACATTTCCTTGCTACTAAATATTCCACGGTCAACTGTTTGTGGTGTTATAACAAAGTGGAAGCAACTGGGAACAACAGCAACTCAGCTACCAAGTAGTAAGCCAAGTAAAAGGACAGAGGGGGGTCAGCACATGCTGAAGCGCACAGTGTGCAGAAGTTGCCAAGTGTCTGCACAGTCAATAGCTAAAGACCTCCAAACTTTTTGTGGCCTTCAGATTAGCACAATAACAGTGTGTAGACAGCTTCATGGAAATGGTTTCCATGGCCGAGCAGCTGCATCCAAGCCTTACATCACCAAGTGCAATGCAAATCATCGGACGCAGTGGTGTAAAGCACGCCACCACTGGACTCAAGTGTTCTCTGGATTGACGAATCACAAACAAAACACAAAGTAACAATAGAGGACGACAAGGGGAGGTAATCCTCCAGGCAGTAGAACAACACAGCAAGGTTTAAGTGTCCCTGGAGAGGAAATCCGGCAAAGGAGCAGGAAAACAGACCACAGTAGGCACAACCAGGGACAGGTATCCTCCAGGTGGTAATAGGGCACTGCAAGTCTAAAGCATCCATGGAGGGAAAATATGGTACAGCAACAGGAACAGTCCACAGAGCAATAGTAGGCATAGCAAGAAGCATGGATCCTCTGGGCAGTAACAGGGCACGGCAAGGCTTAAGCAGGGGCGGACTGACCATTTGGAAACTCGGGCACTGCCCGAGGGCCCAGGATCAGTAGGGAGCCCCATGAGATGCCCCTGGTACCTTTTTCATAGGCTTTTTTGAGTTTGGGCAAGGACACAGGGGCCCCATGATCTCCTATTGCCTGGGGGCCCCATGAGTTGTCAGTCCGCCCCTGGGCTTCAGGGATCCTCCAGGTAGAAATAGGGCACAACAAGGGTTAATTGTCCAGAAAACAGGGCAGAGGTCCTTCACAGACCAATGGTGGGTGACCTTCACAGACCAATGGTGGCCTGGCTGAGGCTTCAGGACTGCACAGGTAGCAGTTATGAGGAAAGTAGAAGCACAGCAAGGAGAAATAGTGCACAGAGTAATAATGTGAAACCACAAGGAGAAATAGTCCACATGGCAGTAAGCACAGCCAATACAGAACTGCAAGTCTCAGCAGTCCCGTGTCTAGAACATAGTACATAGCCTATGTGGGCAGCAATCCTAATCACCTTTTTGTTTCTTTCCAGTGGAACATCCAGTCATATGTTCCCCTGTGTCCATCAGAGGGGGAAGCTCAGAAAAGTTTTAAACTTTTCTGATTGCATAGGGATACTATATTGTACTTTGAATTTGCCAACATCTGAGCACTAAATGGCCAGTGCCGAGGCATCTGGCTTTATCCAGATACAGGAATACAATGCTGTCTGCGCTGAGATCAGCCTCATCTTCTACCCCCTGTGGGGCACAGAAACTCAAAGATCAAATATGCAGAAAAGGTAACTACTTTAAACACTGCTGATTTCATCAAAACAAAAATGAAACAAACAAAAATATTTCTACCCTCCAGTACAACTTGATACAGTTTTTTAACCTGCACTAGAAATATATCATCTATAGTAGTTGGGTAGAATGAGCAACACACACTGACTTTTTCTCCATTTTTTATAAATTGTTTAGTTTTCTGCAATGGTTTATTTATTTGCTCTTTTACTGTGTAATTTTTTGTCAATTAGTAATCTGCTATTTGCTACTCTGCATTTATTGTTTACACCATATTTGCATAAAAGTATACATTAAATAAGTGGAAAATAATAGCTTGCTTATAATGCATATCATTCTAGTTTCATTAAAAGATTTCACAATATTACGTTTTACTTTTAATGAAGTAGAATATAAAAATGTGTTTAATATAAAGAATAAGTGCACATTATTTTCTTTATTTATCAAAATAACAATGAACTCTTGTTCTCAATACCTAGACCATTCAGTGTCAGCAGCCCTAAACATTATTTCTATACAGAACAGGCCCTTACCAAAGTGTTTGGAACCACTTAGAAAAGGAAATGTGCCAAGGTAACAGGCTGATGACAAAGGCTGTTCTATGAATTCCCTTGGTATCCTTCTTGATTTGCATTTGTACATTTGCTCATGCCTGAAGAATAATTGTAAGTTAGCCTACATGGCACATACAACAAACAAGATATCAGACATAAGATTTTTTTATATAATATGCTGAGAAACATATATCCAAGGATGGCTTTAGGAAGCAAAAGTGAATTCAAGGTTCTCAAGTCTGTCACAGGGGCGGACTGACAACTCATGGGGCCCCCGGGCAATAGGGGATCATGGGGCCCCTGTGTCCTTGCCCAAACTCAAAAAAGCCTATGAAAAAGGTACCAGGGGCATCTCATGGGCCCCCTACTGACCCCGGGCCCTCGGGCAGTGCCCGAGTTTCCAAATGGTCAGTCCGCCCCTGGTCTGTCACTAATCTTACCACAATTACCTAAGGATAGAAAGAGCAGGGAAACTAATACGAAATCAAATTTGCAAACATGTTTGGTGTATTAAACAGTTAAGGTGTGTTTGAGTGCACTTATTCTTGAACATGCATGTATATTCCATTTTCATTTTGACCTTCAAATATAGCCATTTTGTAAGGAACTTGGCTATTAAAATGTTGCATCACTAAGATTGTGTGACATGGCTGTTTTATGGCACTTTGTCTGTTGAGTGTGTATAAGATGTGCATATGCATAAGCTTGTGTCTCAAAACTTTAATGATACAGGTTTTGGAATTCCTAAACTGTCACAAATATATGAGCCGTGAACCTGTTTCAGATTTGCTCTTGTGTGCCAAATTTTTTTATATTCAGTGTGAACAGTGGCTGCATGATGTAAAATATGCCAAAACGCTCAAAATTTTGATTTTTATAGGTTCATAACTTTAGAATTGTTGATCATGTTCTATGATTGCTTAAAAAATTGAAAACTAGCATTTATGTGTAATGTACTGTATATTTTACTTATTACCTTGTTATTAGCAACCCCTTTCCTTTACCAAATAGTAGCAAATAACTGTAGCTGCTTCTTTACAACTATGGTAGCCAAAAAGTTCAATGTCCTGATGAACATATGCTGCACTTGGAATTTTCCTGTTTCTTAGAGAAATGTATGTAAAATATTCATTATACGGTAAAGTTTTTTATGTCAGAAAAAAAACTGCAGTATGTCAAGAGAGATTAATGTATTTGGGAAATGGTACACATAACTCAGTTAACATAGTTATACTATTTTGTCTGAATTGTTCATAGCATCTTGGCCAGTGGTTATATTTTATATGAAGATACAAGAAGGGACAAAAACAAAATTTCCAGTAAGTTGAGGAATGTTTAGGACTTTTGTCAGGATTTAAAGTGGAGCTGAACTAAAAAAAAAAAAATGAAGCTTTGCTTTATTATAAGAAGCATTTAGAAGTTTAAATTATGTCTAAGCAGTACAATGAAAAATGTATCATTTATCCTGATCTGATCCTGAACCCCCCCCCAAAAAAAAAAAACCCCAAAAAAACTGTGTACTTTATGGTATGTGAGTGTGCCTAGCAATCCTATGCCTACAGCCTCAAAATTGTATAGCTGCAGCCCAAGATCTAAGGCACCACAGCCTCTGACTGCTAGTCCTAAAATAGGAGTGCAAGAATAAAAAAGAATAAAAAAAACCAAAAACATACATACTGCATACATGCTGCAGTTGTTCCCCATTGACTCTACAATGAGAACGGAGTGATCAAAAACTGCTGATTGCTTAGTTCTGGGGTCTGCTGTGAGCATGGAACAGTGACTGTCAGTCAGCCCCCTGTGCTCTGCCCCTCCAGCACTCATTGGAGCATAAAGCCATGGAAGGGATGGGAGTGGCATGTTTGGAGGCTGAGAAAGCATCCAGTCAGGCATCTAGGTGGATCCCAACATTATTGTCCGGATCCCTGCTGAGCCTGGACCAGCTCTGTAATGTCAGCTGACAGCAGACTTTGGCCTACTGTTGGCTGAAGCTGAGTAACAGGAGTACAGCAGGGGCGTATTTACCACAAGACAAACAAGGGATTTCCTAGGGTGGCATTTTGTTCAGGGGGACAGCGGCATTTCTCAGGGGGGCAGCGTCACCTCCCTGAAAGAAGGGATGGAAGAAAGGACACATGCAGCATGGGGACCAGGTGGGATATGAGAGAGGCTGCAGGCTGCTTGATGGTGTATGCAGAGCCTGACTCTGGTTTCCGGGGATGTCTGGAGCTGTGAAGGTGAGTGTCTTTTCTCTCGCAAGGGTAGGAAAGGGTTGCTAGTGTATGGGGGGCAGTGGTAGTGGAGGCTCTCTCGGGTGGAGGGGGCTGGGGTGGGGTGTTGTTGGTCAATGTAAGGCTCTTATCGTGGGGGAGGGGGGTGTTTGTCAGTGTCAGGGCCTCTCCGTGGGGGGGGGGGGCAATTATTGCGTTGCCTAGTGCAGCACGAAACCTATCTACACCACTAGTGTACAGGACTAAGTACACTCCTGTGACCCACAGGAGAAGTATGACCAAAAGAGCTTTGGTCATACTTCTCCTGTAAGAGACTTGGAGTGGTGTTTGGTGATATCACTAGGCACTGCTCATGTTTCTCTTTGCTGAAAGTACTGACACAAGAAAGCCAAACTCTGCCCGTACCAAGATGCCAACCTCCACACAGGGACACAATGCAAAACAAGGAACTGAAATTTCAGAGACTAGTCCTTTTCTCTCTGCCTGCCATTTGTTGGGGCTCAGCTTCCAAAGATCAGTTACTTAGTAATTTCTGTGTTTGTTCTCATGTGGGAGATTTCTCCCCATTTTCTATCCTATCCTGGTGATTGGTGTCAAACAGAATAGACATAGAAAATGAATCTTTTCTGTGGTGACAATAATTAACATCTTATAATAGTAATAGGAACACAGAATGCATTCCGAAGATGACAGATGTTCTAACCCTTCCCTTCTCTATCAAAAAATAAAGTTTTGGGTGGCTTAGGCTTTACCAATTTCACAGTAAAGCTCATTTTCTGGGTCTGATACACAACATAGTAAATAATTCCATACTAACATTCCCATTGCTACTGTAATGATTTTTCTTTTACATATTTAATACAACTGTGTGCTATTTTGGTCGATGAAACAACACAGAATTAAAACCATGTTAGGATCGGAAGGAAGCTATATTATTAAATATTCTAGCACAGCTAATTATAGTGTCATTCTCTTTGGTTTCTGTTATTTATCTTCCTTGTCTGATGTTAGCTGGCAATCCTCAATCAGTGCTTT